TATCCGTCGTGGCAATACATCAAAAAGTTCATTCGACTGAGGAACCTCCAGTTTGCACGTCACCATCTTGAAAGTTTGGCACACGAATACCGGTATATGATAGAATGGAGTGGTAGCATGGCAAATTGTTCAAAGCGCAACATTTCGGTGTCGGGGCCACATTTGTATATTAAATACATGGGCTTCTTGACAGCGCTGACATAGCCTGTAAGAGATGGCCCAGTCATAATATGGCACAAATTTCTGGGGATGCTTGCCAAATAATTTTTCAAATTAAAACTTGCGGTATATAAGACTCGATAATCTCGCCATTTCACCCACTGTTTTTTCTAAATAAATAGCTAAGAATGCTCGATCAGCTTTAAGCTTCTTGATAAAAGGCTGCCAAGTGTTTAGACACGCGTTTTTTTTTTTTATGAAATCGGGTGTCCAGGTCCTCTTTTAGTCTGCATTCCATGGTACCATGTGTTGACAACCTAATGTACAAGTCATTTTTAGCTAAAGTTTTTTTATGTGATTTTAGAAGACAGCAGGCCATGCAAAACACAACTTCTTGAACCTGTGATGGATTATTAGGAGACGTTTTCGTCTCGACAATAAACGCATACATTATATTTTAGGCGTCAAAACCCTTTAACTATGACCTCACAAGTAGTTATTACAAGCCCTGGAAAGGTGGATATACACCCCTGATTGGATTCAAGAATGTTTGGGCGCAGTTTATTGCAGTTTTTGGCCGCCTATCAAAGAGTCCAGATACAAGTTCCGTTGTGCCCCAAGAATACATAATGGGCGCTTTGCTTTTTTATGTAAATGGTCCTTCGTTTAACGCGTATCTTCCTCGATTCTGCTTATTACAAACACTGATGCGTCGTATAAAAGTATCGAAAATGTAGCGTGTATCGTGATATTGTAGAGTGCCTTTGAACGGCAATCGCTTTATAGTGTAGGAAGGTGGCACATACCTTATCGAAGTCGGTTAAAACCAAATTCATGTTCATGTCCACAATTAAACGCACAACCAATCGCAACCCTACAATCAACGATACCGTCTTAAAAATATATCAATACAAAAATTTGTTATTTTTTTAGTAGCATAAATTTTTACAATTATATTGATTACAAGATATAAACGAAAAACAAATGTCGATCACTTGGGCTTAGCAATCGGAATTTGTTTTCTGGTACCTCCAGAAACTAGATTTTTTAGTAGCCGACATTTTAATAAATGCAGGACATGGCTCGTTATGTTGACGGGTCTGATTTCTAGTGGCATTCCTTTTTTTTTTGCATTCTTATCGGTTAATGATATAATGATACTGGACTGTGGGGGAGCTCTAATAAGAAATTCTGGAATGGACACGCCCAGCGTTCTTCCAGACATTCTTCACCATCCGCGAGCGGCCCAAAAGCAAAAAGAAAATCTATTTTTATTAGAGATCAGGAGCGCTATTACTATACGAGCTGATAGGACCGATAAGACAGCGTCAAAAAAAAGTGCCCTATCAAGGCGTTCGTCGTGTTTTTGCACGTGTTCTGTATCATCACGGAACCAATCATAAACAGAAAAAAAGTCCTAGTGATATCCGCTTTTTGACGCCGCTTGTTCCGTCCCATTGCCTGCACGGAGAGCAAGTCGTCTGTTTCTTGCGCAGAGGTTGTGGTGACGTCAGAACGAAGCCGAGGTCTGATTGGCTTTGATTGAAAAGATAGTAGATAGACATCAATGCTAGCTGCATTGAGGTTGACCCACAATTTTGTTCAATCAGCCAATAAGAGCTCGGCGTCGTTCTGACGTCATCACAACCCCTGTGCAAAAAGCAGACGAACTTGCGTTCCTCGTAAGCCTTTAAGCGTCGGTTGCGTCTGAACTGGAGCTGAAACAAAGTGTAGAGGTTTCTCATCTTCGGTTCATGGTTCAGTGACGAGGATAAATGCTTTAATGTCTCTCTCGAAAAGCGCGGGAATTAGTTTCCCCTCGACGCAATTTTTATTTTTCAGACATAGATAATCATCCTCACAAAAATTCGTTTATCTAACAAACTAAGCAATTTCGCTACTCTCCGTTGAGGGTTGTTCTATAAAATTGGCATTCATTGCCCCGACATATAACAAAGAAAGTACAAAACAAAGCAAAATTTTGATTGCCGAGTGAAGTAATATTTTGCTACGCTTTAAACTGACGCATCTGTATGGGTATCATTTTTTATGTATGGATCAGTTTTGCCGTTGTTATTTTGTTTCGGTTTTCATGCAAAGATGATACCCATTCTGACGACTGTTTGGTGCATGTGGGAACGTCATGAATCGTAGCTGTTTATAAATGCCGCGTCGATGAGATCCTCTTTCCAGTCAGCGACGTGCCAACTCCGCTACTAGAGATGCCAAATACAGCTTGTGGTCGCAACCTGCTGTTTAAACTCGTGCGTCACAAACCGGCTGCCGAAAGAAAAACGAAAAAAAAAAACATGTTTACGAATATACGCTACGACAGAAAGATTCTGTGCACCGCCGAAAAGCTTTTTTTTTTTTCCTTTTTTTTTTTTTCTTACACCAAAGAAGTAGGTGTTTATCGCGCCAGTGCGGCTGAACTAACCAGCACGGCAACTTTCGAATAAACTCGAGTTTCGTTCAAATGAAGAGATCGCGGCTTTTGCAGTATTCGAACGAACATGAAAGTTACTTCTATGTGATTACACATGCGCATCCTGTTGTGCATCCAGATAGATTAATTCCGCTCTGTACGCTTGAACTGCGGGACTGCTCTCGCCCGCGCGATCGTCAAACCAAACCTTCTATTCAGGCACAAAATGAGGGAGAGGAGGAGACAAGAGGGGTTGTCAGAACACCGAGCACTGGTTAGAATGACCAGGCATAGCCGCCTCCATACTCACAAAGTCTGGCAGTTCGACGACGAAGCCATAGAGTGCCCGGCCGCAGATTTGGACCGCGAGGATCTGGTAGCAAAGAGCATCGAAGAGCCATTTCTCGGGGAACCTGGATGTAAGCGCACAGCTTTTGCAGCGGCGAGGACCCAAATCCCACTTGTTCGCTCGGGAGAAGTGTGTTTTGGTGTCTCACCGCAGCGGGGCGCCATTCACGTGGCTCTCCTCTCGTCCGTTGTCTGCCGCTCTACATTTTCCATTTCGGCGGCCGCTTCTCGTGGCGATCTGCCAGGCTTTGTCAGTATATAGGAGGCTATGGATCAGGCGTAGACGCAAAGCTAGCTGCGCGCCTTTGTCTCCACTGCATTGTCCGAGCACGTAAAAGCGCGGAACGCCGGCGTCCGGCGTTTGGCGTTCGCGTTCGAACGCGTTCGACGAGTGCAATAAGAACAAAGGTAGCTAGCTTTGCATCTACTCCCTAATCATTTCGACCAGGGTTTGGCATTCTGACGTCCCCGCGTGTTCTCGTCTCCTCTCTCTCTTTTATCTCTCCCTTCTTTCTCTCTCTCTCTCTCTCTTTCTCACAGTTTCTGCTCGCATAGCCGTAAATGATCCTAGCACAGAACTAGTGTTCCGTGTTTAAAAAAAAAAAAAGAAAAAAACCCCATAAAACTCGAAAACAAATCGCCGATTAAATTTTTTTGGTAATCACATTTAACCAAAAAAATTCATATTGCAAAATTACTACGCAGTGAAAAACAGTAAGTTTGGAGGAAAGGGTCAGTTGTCAGAACGAGAGGCCAGTTCACCTGCTTTTGAAATCTTGGACCATTTGGCCAAGGGGGTTTACCATACATCTCGTCAAGGTTCGTTCAGGACAACCGGTCATTGTATTCCTGGTCACGGCAAAAGTCACTGTTTTGGTTTCCAGTTTGTACCATACTGTTTGTACTTAGAGGAGGAGGGGCAGAGCTTTCACAAGAAAAAAAGCATGAACCCGTAAATTTCATAAAACGCGCTGCAGGGAAGTTGGAGCTCTATGCTTCTCGGTGACTACGTCCAGGTGTTTCGTTATTTTAGTGTATTGACGTTCATTCAAGCAATACCCGTTTGAAAATTTTCTCCTGCGAAAATTAGCATTTCCACTGGCAAGGGCGCCGATTCCAAATCGGGCTAAAGGAAGGCCATTAGATACAAGTGAATTCAGTGTATTTTCGTGCTTCAATATTATTTATTTTTATTTTAAAGTTTAGTATTTTGAAAAATACAACATTATTAAACTTAGAAATATTTTGGATTGCGAATCTAGCATAAGTGTAGATAACCTCTGATAAACCCAAACTTTTTTGCGAAAAATAAACTTCGAAAAACGCACCTTGCATTATACGAAAAATAATCTCCGATAAAGCGAAACCCTACACCGCAGACAGAACAATGTTGTACATAGAATGAGTAGGAGAGGCTTTTAGAACGCGCAGACCCTTATCATATTGCTTCTTTTTTTCTTCTTTCTCTTTGCCATATGTTTATTTTGATTCTTTTTTCTTTAGAAGCTTGAGTGCGTATCATATTTAGAGTCCCTGTGTTTTCTGTGTATACAGATAAACCCCGAAAACTAACCTCCGAGCAAACCTTATCATAACTGAAAAAAAAGAGAAAAGAATGGGGGGTACCTTTTTAGAAAACAACCCACGCTTCACAGAAAAAAATATTAAAAAAATAAAACTTTATTTACACAGTTTTATTTCTGTTGTCGCTTTCTACTTGGTCTTTATCTTTTTTTATGTTTTACCATTTAATTTTTGTTTACTCGCAAGACAGCCCCCACTGAACTGTCCGCAGGGTGCTTCAAAAACCATCGTTTAAAAACCATCGTTTTTTTTTTTTTTATTATTATCTGTACCGGGACGGCTTTATTCGGATCACGCCCATGTTCTCTGGAGGTTGGGGCGGCTGTACCCCGTTTTGTTCAACATAAACCCCAGTAAACGACGGTTTTTGTCCAACGCTCAAGATAAACGCCGATTCTGCCGGAGAAATAAACCCCAAATTACTCCCGCTCGGATGTCGGTCGTAGCGTCGTGCACGACTGACTTCCTCCTCCGGCCTGCGCAGAAATCCTGGTGTGGGTGATTGCGGGGAGCAGCGTCGCCGGGCTCATCGTCGTCTCTCTCGTCGTGTGGCTGGTGGTGGCTCAGGTGAGGGGAACCAAGGGAATCTGCAGGAAGTCCGGCCAGGGAGACTCGAGGCCGCCGCTGCTTGGACACGACCGCAAATCCATGTGAGTTGAGAGGCGATCGTTGGTTCTCTGCTCGGAAACATACGGGACCTCGAGCGTGTCTCCGACTGGTCTGTTTAGCGTCCTGTCCCGCCCGTACATCTAAAGTGCGTCCCAACGCGGAGCGCAAGTCTGTCTGCTTCTTTTGCGGGGGTTGTGGTGACGTCACAACACCGAGCTGCGATTGGTTCTGAATGGAGGATAGTGGGTAGACCACGAGGCAGCTTGCTTTGAGGCCTACCCGCTATCCTTGGATCAGAGCCAATCAGAGCTCGGAGTATTTATGACGTCACGGCAATTCCCGCGAAAGAAGCAGACGACTTGCTCACCGCATGGAGAGTCTAGATTGTAGACAGCGTCCAGCTCAAACCGCGGGGAGCTTTTGCAATTTAAAGCGGAGAGGAAGTCGTCTGCTTCTTGCGAAAGAGTTGAGGTGACGTCAAAACGACGCCGAGCTATGATTGGCTTCGATTGAAAGGATAGTGAGTAGACCTCAATGCTAGATGCCTTCAAGTACGTCAACCCGCTATTTTTTTTTTTTTTTTTTAATCAGCCAATCAGAGCTTTGCGTCGTTCTGACGTCACCGCAACTCCCGCGCAAGAGGCGGACGACTTGCTCTCCGTATAGCGGACGTCTCCTGCGGAGATTAATCGCAAGTGCGCATGCGCTGCGTTGAAAGAGGTGGCAAGAAGGAAAGCGGGCGGAAAGGCCGAGGCGTTTGCAGACGACCAACGCGTTCGTCAGCTCCTCGAAGCTCGTATTGCAAATGCAACCCATAAACCACGTGACCTCGATCGAGCAGCTGGAAACTCTCCTCAATACAGGCTCACTATACGTCTCAACTCCTGGCCGTCGAAACTTCCGTGGACTGTCAGGCTGGAAAGCGACCTGCTGCAGAACAGGCGTCTGCCAGATCCACCACTGCTCCTGTGACACCGCCAGGATTGCGGCCGTCGACAACATGACGCTTTTACGACGTCATCAGACGGAAATCGATGGACCACTTTCTTAGACCGCGCTAAACACACCAGTCGAAGACGCGTTCCAGCTACCACACTAGGCCTGGTTCGCGTTTTCCGAACTTTTGACGCGTGGTTCGAAGAAAAATTTACTAGAGTTCGACTATTATGCGCACGCCCAAAAATTAAAAAAAAAAAAACTGGGCTGACGCCGCCTGGCGCAGGAAGGGAAAACTATTTATCGGGTATTTATTGTTTCTTTTAAAAGGTGACTAAATCAACGAAAGCTTTTGTTTGCTTTCATACTGTTCCGCCAAACGATGAGTTCTCTGTGTTCAGCGTCTAATCTCGCGTTCGACAAACGTTTATGACATCCCTAGTCAAAACCTATTGTTTAACTTTATGATCTTCATGGCGGCATTAGAAAATGCGTCGTGAAAGTTAGGTGAAAAACACGGTACTTTATTGCAGTCAAAATTTAGTTATGTGAGATTGACTGCGCGATAAAGATGACATTCGAGTGTGAAGTTGTTAGAGTAAAGCAGGCTAGCCTTATTCGACGGTAGTAAGCGTTCGTGGCAGCTGGGGGATCCACGAAGGCGTTGCGTGAGGTCGTTGTTAAAAAAAAGCGATAGAACGTTATTGCGTCTCCAGTCTTTAATGTATCTGTGAACCTCACAAAGAGAAGCAAGAATCTCATTTTTACTCACTCATGAATGACGTTCCTCTTACAAGCAGAATACCAAAAGCAGACACGCTAAATTTATTTGTCAAAAACACTAGCGCCTAAAATCGAGTTTAGGACGCTTCCCACGTGGATCAGCATGCCACTTACTACGTCGCATGCTTTGCGATGGAAGGCAAAATATTCCAAGGGTGGGACGTGAGCACGTCAATTTTAAAATTTATTTTCGCCACAGAAAACGCTTCCGGGAAATTTTTTATAGACATATTTTAGAAGGGTCTGTAAATATATAGTGCAAATTTTATATAAAAGAAGAAAATCACAAGCACCGACATTTTGTCAGAATTGTGTTTTGTAAAATAGTGAAAGGAAATAGAAATCTGAGATCAGCCAGTGGCGCCGGAACAGAAGTAAGAGGAAATTGTCCCCATACCCCCCCCCCCCTTTTCCCCTCACATACACACATTTCAGACATTTCAGCTATATCAAGAGTTCAGGGCGAGGGAAAGAACAGATGGGGAGGAGGAAGCAGGCGGAATGCTGGAACGAGGGGGGGGGGGGGTGATTTCATCCTCTCCTCTCCAGCCATCCATCTGCTCCCTAGCCTCCCTTTCCCTCGACCTGAACACGTAATTTGTAAATCATTCGGGGGAACGAGATGGGAAACCCCACCCTCCCTCTTGTTGCCCCTTGCCCCCCTTTTTCCAGGAACTTCTGACGTCACTGGCTCAGCAGCCATGGTTGAATGTATTCAAACCATACGAGTGAGTTTTGGCCTAGGGCGAAACATGCACGACATCTATCCATCAGAGTGCGAAATAATGTGGCTGAATTATAAAGAAAACAGTCAAAACTCAAACGAAGATGACTGCTTGAAGGGCACCCCACGTCCTCCTTGCTGCTATATATTTGCAGTTTCCGCAATAACCTCATTGTGCGTGTTTTTTCTGACAAGACTTCAAGTACATAATTTTTCTTTTACTAAAACGTCGTCATTCGCAGTCGGAAAAAAGGTTATCTGTTTGCGTTCTTTATGATGAAGCGATCAAGGACCAATTGTATGACGAAAAGACATATGCCATAGCATAGGTTCAATAGCGCAAGCGGACACGGCCTCGCTTGGCCAAGCCGGCTGCTGTTCTAAAAGTTACGCATATATCTCTTTATTGTTTTACCTTTTACATTGGAAGTACATTGCGCTTTAAAATGGCACAATATGAGCGCGATCTTTTAAATGTATTTTTGAGAATCTGGCAATGCGTTGGCGCCTATATTTATTTCTGCTGACTTATTTTGAGATACAAGGAGTCCATGTTATTTATTTTGATTTGAAAACTGGACTTTCTACGGCCTCTGTGTTGGTACTTGTGAGTAAATTTCACCAGTTCCTCCCAAAATCTTTTAAATTCTGCTCACAAGGGAAGAGACAAAACTACTTATCTAGCTCTCATTAGGTTGGTTACCCTAACACAAACCAAATTTTAAGAAGGAAGCTACCTATGTTAAAATTAAAAAAGAATTTGGCATATCGTCCTTCACAAACTATTCCCACTCTAAATGGTTATGCAAGAATTAAATCAACCTGGCATGCTACAACAGTAATGAAAAGTCCAAATACACCACGGCTTGGCCCAGCACAAGGTTGTTCGAGGTTGACCGCGAGTTTTATTTATACATAAAATTAAAAAAAATCCCACAAGCAGTCAGTTTTTTCAAAGTACTCCCCATGCTTGTCCTGGAAGTGCTGTCATCGTTTTGGCAGTTCCATGATCCTTTTGATGTAGAAACAACTGTGCTGCGTGACAGCAGTCGGACGAACGTGTCCTGCGGTTCATTTGTCACCGGCTGTCATCCTTCACGAAACTGTTGACAATTCGCACACTCTTCTCCGTGACATCGTCTGTGCATCATAGTGTGCGCTTGTAATCGACTCAAAGTTTCAGCTAGCATAATTTTTTCTCCTTTGACAGAAATTTGATTATGCACTGCTATTCCAAAGCCACGGGAACCTATCTCGCTACAATGAAAACTAAAACTGCTGTACATGTGTCAAATACGTTGTTCCAGGCGCTGGCTATTTAAGAAACGTTGGGTTAACCTCCTTTACAAGTATCATTATACTAAACCTTTTCAGCGGTTTCTTGTGGACAAAGGTGTCGGCCAAGCTTGAACGTATTTATCGGCCTCGACTGACCTGGTTCCGCCTTTAATCACTTTTCAGTTCCTTTACACTTTGTATTGTTTCTGCGGTGCTTTCGAAATTCCACGTTTCCTGTACTCCTTTCTCCCCTTCGCCTTTTCGCCACTGCCATGTCGACGCGTGCTTACTTGCTTTGTTTCTTCACATTTTTTGTTTGCGCATATTCACTTTTATCGTAAATGAGCTCTGAAATGGTCTGTTCCACAAAACAACGAGCGCTAATTCAACCTAAATCAATCAGGTTCATTAATTGGCAAAGATTTGTTTAGGAACCGATAGGTGTTGCAAGCGAGAACTGCCCATTCGGGTTGAGACAATGTTATATTTAAAAAGCTGTGTCGGCTCTCTCACAGCCTTTCCAAGTCGCTGGCCGGATCCCCGCTGTCGGCCCGTCCCGGCGACAAGTGCCCCGACTGGGTGCCTTCGGTGCCGACTCTGCTCACCCCCGAATCCTTCAACGTACAGTCGGCCAGCCTGACCGCCGCCGAGCCGGTACAGCCCATCGACAAGCCGGGCTTCGTGCGCTGGAACTCATTCTGCTCCCCTTCCGCCGAGGGCCTGGTCGGGAACCTGCTACCCCGGAGTTACAGCTGCGGGTCAGTCCAACCCCTCCTAGAACTTGCAGCCGCACACCTCCTCCCCTGACGTCACAGATGAGGGCAATCGGTTTCCGTCGGGCAGTCGATCTTTCTGGTTGGCAGACGAAGGAGGTGACAGCGTTAAAGGCACCAACTCCTCTCTCTTCGTTTTAAGCCTAAAATCTGTCAAAGTCTAGAATAAACACAAAGCCTAGAACACAAAGCTTAGGGATATACAGGCTAAAAGCGCAGTGTCAGGGCGCACTCTCTGCACTTTATTGAAGGATACGGTAGATGAGGCCGCACAGAAAGGCGGTGAACGCCATGACGTTGCCATGCTTTTAAGCACACCATGGAACTTGTTCTTCTCGGGTGATGACAAGTGCCGTCACGGCACTCGTCGGCCACGAACGCGAATCCAAATATTCGTCGAAGAATGCATCGCATACGTCCGAGAGACGCAGTGTTCGCGTCGAAGGCGTGAGCTGGGGTCGGCTGACGTGCTTTGAGTACCGCGCGAATGCATCGCAGTGAAAAGGTGGAGAGTTTTCGAAGGAAAGGAGGTACAAAATAGTCCGCTATATTTCGAAATCTTCGTACCGAAAAGCAGGCTTTTGACTTTCTACCCCGTTTCTTTTGGCCCACTAAACGATATGCGATTAGTAAAATCCCAATTTTAAATCATCTGCCCCCTCCACAAATTAATTGTATGGCTTCTTTAAAGTGACACAAAGCATTCATATCAAGGTCACAATGCTGAATTTCCTACGTCAGCGACCGAAGGCTAGCGCGGATGGGACACGAGCGCTCTGACGGCGTTCGACTGGGACTCGTGTCGTCCGTGATTGGTCACGAGTCTCGGCCGAACTTTGTCGCAACACTGGTGTCCCATCAGAGCCCCGCTGGCCTCCGACGGGTGACGTAGATAACCAGGCACTATGGCCTTGCTATGGATGGAAGATGAAAGAGTGTGGAGGACGCGCGGAAGAACTGAGGAGAAAGAGGAGATGTAAAGAGAAGGATCAAGCAATGCAAGAGCAGCACTGAATGCAGGAAAGTCGTTCGCCACGGTTCTGACGGAGTAGCACGTACCACTCCATTTCAGATAAAAGGCTGACTTGGAGGTTCACCATCTTGTTTATCTTTTTTTACGTCCATGTATAGGAACGGAAAGGAGCACGTTTTGTACGACCTTTGGTGTACAAGCATTCACAAGGGACGTAGAAGAGATATGTGAGAGGACTCAAAGGAACCTGTCGAATTTAGCCTATTGGCCAGTGATCTTTTTAGAAATTCATAATGTTTCATTTTGCCCTTGTAATTTAACTTCTAAGATAAAGTGAATTCATTAATATGGTTAAAATAAGTTCAGAAACTACATCATTATGGCATTTAGTTGACTCAACTAATCTAACAATGAGACGAGCATGCCTGGAGCATTGAGAGTGAAGATCAGCTGTTATTGAAACCTCTAGTATAAATAGCTGCTTATGGTTGCCTTCTTTTATTGCCCACTTATGGTGGTGCCAAATGGCCGTTTTTCAGCCCTCTCTGTTTGACAACCTCAAGTATGGTACACCACTTATGGCGCTAAAGACAAGCTACGTTGAAGTGGTGTGGGTTTTGCGGTGTAACAACAGATGACGTCCAAATACCTGATATAATTATTAAAAGTGTAGTGTTTGCTCGCCCATACTCGCTTTTCCAGGGGACGCTGTAGAAAGTAATTAAATTGTATACTTTTTAACGAAGATGAACAAAGAGTGCATTGCACAGTATTAATAGATTATGGCGAAACACTGATCATTGCTGTAACACTGTAACACGGCGCGGCAAGCGGCGGGCAGTCTGTAGGAGGGGAACTGTTCCTTCTTACAGTACGTTACACCGACACAACGGTATCCCAATTACTGTAACTGCATGTCTCGTAATTGTTCCACAGACGACATTCGCGACTTGTAAAGCGCGGGATCTATTCTCGTGATACAGCGCTTAAACGTTTAATTATGTCTAGTGGATTGTCAACTATAACTACCAAACCGTCATTTAAAAAAAAATGTGCTTACCAAATTGTGGCAGTACCTTGTTTTCTGAGGAACAGATGTGAGGATCCCACTTTCTACCGACTCGCGACTGGTTGTGGGCCTGATAACGACGCGCGTTTACTTGAGGCTTTGCTTTCCCTAATTGCACATCGACCAAATGAGACGGCGCACAATTGCACAGTCAGTTTCTCTATATGCTTGATAGCAGAGGGCATATTCTTGACGTATGCTTTGCGTTTCATAATTTCGCATAGATCAACTAAAACACTTCCTTGTTATCCTGCCGGTCTGTCAAATTTAAATGTGTACCATGGGAATACATATAACGAGAATATATTGTGCACCCCTTTCACGTACACCACTCCTGAATCTGTATGTATTCACTTTCTTGTCACCGGCGCTCACGCTGTTGCTTCTCTTTCTGCGAAGGCCACAGAACTCTTCTCCATCTCACACAAGTTCACTGGTTTTCTTCTTCCTAGCACAGTGCTTGCCAAATAACAAACTGAACAGTGGTCCGGACTATGAAATAAGCGAGACGCAATACGTTTCAGCAAAAAAAAAAAAAACAACTAAAGAACACCTAGATCCCGTAATAAGTTGGATTTTTTTTATTTGTGCATAGGCCGTAGATTTTCCGGTGTTTATTTAAAAGGAAAATTGCTTCCACTGTTTATTTCCACTGTTTATTTCTTTCCAAGATATCGATGTATTTAGAGGATCTGCTTCGTACTGACGCTAAAAACGATGATTATCGGTGAAACAAAACTCATCACTAACTATGCATCTTAGTCGAAAAGGGCAGAGTGTTCGACGAAAACAAAAAAACACAATCCAAGTTTTTTACAAAATTTTAGTTTTTTTTTTTGTAATCGAGTTTGTACCTTTGACAGCGACAAATGTTAGTTAATGTTTTTTTTTAATCGTATTTTTGTCACTTAATAACGTTTATTGGTGTTTTTTGTTCTTTTTAGTTAAAACCGGAAGGTCTACGGCCTGTTAGGTAGTATTATTGATTTTCTTTGTATATTAGGACCCTAACACGTAGTCATCCAGGTACTTTGGCGCACGGTTTCATACTCCGGGCCGTCTACAGTGCCCGCAATTAATTACCTGATATTCAGCCTGGTCCCTCTTTCTCTTTTTTGTCTGTTTGCACTTCTAGCGAGGACGACCCGCACGCCTATCGGTTCTGGCTATACCACAGAGCTTACCTATTCTCCTGTTCTGAAAGGGGCCTAACTATGCACTCCCGCCCCCGCTTGGAAGATCTCTGGCGATTCTCGAAGGAAACAAATGTCCTCGACTCGGGGTGGGTATTTATACTCCACCTCACTCATTGCTTCCCTGCTCTAATGGTGTTTTTGCACGAGGGAATTTTTCTCCGACGAGTCGAATAAACGTCATCGAGTTTGGAGGTCACGTGTGCCACGTCGCCGATGTTCGCTACTCCCCCGAGCCCGCGGGTAGCCGTGGGGAATCATCCACGACCGCTGCCAGAATATCCGTCGTCCCGTCGCGGAGCGAACGGTTCCCCTCCTTCGGGGGAAGGGTAAGCAGCACTTGAGCTGTGGAAAGCCTTTCTTTTTCAGCTTCTTTTTCCCTGCATCTCTTGCTCTCAACGATCCTGTGAAAATCCCAAGCACGTTCGTGAAAAAAAGAAAAAAAAGCTGCATCTGATTAAGTACATACGACTCCGTCGTGCGCACTGATCTCAGTGGTCGTGCGAGACATCGCAAGGATTTTTATAACCACCAGCTCCTTCTCGCGGTGTTTCCTTCCCCGCGGATCTATGACGCACTCGGTTTTCTTTGCAAATAAATATCCGTCCTGCAAAAACACCCTAACCGCTCATTTCCACTGGAAGCGGATCCGCGTTCGCAAAGCGGTTGCGAACGCGGTTGTATAAAGATCCAGTACAATTGCACGCGCACTTGATGTCATCGAGTGCGCGTGCAATTTATACTGGATCTTTATACAACCGCGTTCGCAACCACTTTGCGAACGCGGATCCGCTTCGAGTGTGAATGAGCGGTAAGAAATGCCAGCGAGCAAGATGTGTCTGAAAACGCTCTACCCGATTCGTACCGGTGTGACGTGTGCGAAGAGCGAAATGGAACCATATAGACCAACGCGTAGCTCTGATGTCACGCGGCTACGGTGGCGCTGCTGTCGCGTCGGCAGCAGCGCCACCGCATTGCAAGCGCAGGCGCTTTCTACACGCTAATCGGGTATTTGCGCCCCCCCCCCCCCCCCCTTAATGTGGGCCAACGCTGACTAATTTTTAAACAGTGCCTTGGCCTATAAACCTTTCTAGTGCTTATCACCCGGTAACAAATGCTCCGAGTCGTTGGGTTGTGAACGCATGGGTGGTGTCTGATATCACTGCGCATGCTCGGAACGCGCCCAACAGTCCAGTAGACAAACAATGCCGCACACAGAAGGCTACGGTTGGAATTGTTGATAAAGAACGCTGCCTCCTCCGACTGACTGCACATATTTTTATGCGGGGAGGGGAGGAGCGTGTTATAAAACGCCGATAGTCGTTTAGGCTAGGGTGCCTAGATGTCTGTCTGTCTCAGGGTGAAGACATCCATTGTTGTCCGGAATGTGCCAGCGCGTGACGCTCTCGCGCACTCGGTGCGTGACTTGGGCGGTAAGATGGCGTCTATGCATCAGCCAAAGCTACGCGCTCGAGCTGAGTGACACCGGATTGCGCGCACTTCATAATGCATAAAAAAACGATTGGGCGGAAAAATGGCTGAGATGTCACCACTCAAGCAAAAGCGCGCGTGTGTATGAAGGCACTCTAGTTTAGGCTATTGCCATTCCATCTGGTTTCGATAGGAACCCGCGTACATCTGTGTGATCACCATCGCGTGGGGCACGTGAAAACAAAACCCGCGCGGTTCGGAATAGACCGATCTCACTAAGCGTTCGGTGCATGCGTGACGCCGCCATAACTTTAGTTCACAGCAGGCAGACAGCCGAGCATGCGAGGGCTCGTGCCGTCTCATGCTCCACACGCGCAATGCTCCAGCGAGGTTTTCGCACGTGCAGAAAGACTAAAGTTCCCTCGATGCATTGCTGTAGTGGTGGCGTAGTAAAACTGGCTGGTGAGATCGGTCTATTGTATCGCGTCTGCCAAATCGCACCCCCAAACAGGACACGCAAGTCGCTAATCCACTGATTTAAAGGGGCGATGCAACAATTTTTGTACTTTGCGCAAATACAGCTTAAAATGGATCCCTGACGTTAATGACCTATGAAACACGCGTTCGTTTTTCACCCCACGCAATAGAAGTCCCAGAAACAAATTAAAGAAAAACGAGCAGCGTTCACCCCCTCAACTCGCAGACAGAACAAGCGGCCACGTGATCTGGATCCGATTATATGCCGCCAATGTTGATCATAGCCACGCGCTGGGGTTGACAGAGCACAGGACACGCGCTGAGTTCTCGACATTGTTATGGCTCGGCTATTGTTGTCGTTGCAGCGATCGGACACGGGCCACAACCCGAATGCTTCTCGAGCTAGTAATTATTAGAGAGTTTTAGTAGATCGTTCCGATACCTCCGATAGCCCCGATAACGATACTATGCATGCGCAAGGGAGGCGGTGGCGAAGTATCGGGATATCGTTATCGGAGTCATGGGAACGATCTACTAAAACTCTCTATTAGGAGCCGAAATTGAGTGCCCACGCAATGCTCGGGTCCACTCTATGAACCGCATTCAAATATCATCATTGGGGTGTACTGTGATCCCCACAATACGTCATCAAATTTTGCAAAAAAAAGATTAAATAAAAATGATCGCTTTTTTTTTAAATTACACAGCAAGAAAGGAGTTTCTTGGCCAGTGGCGTTGCGTGTGAGTATCCATGAGTCCCATTAGTGCCACTAAGCTCGTGTAAAGTTTCATTCCAATTCCAATTGAATATCGTTGCACCGCTCCTTAGGGGCAATGTAAAAAACTTGAAGGGGACACTGAAAACGAACGAAAAAAAATGCTCCTTCGAAGGGCGTGCCTATCAATGTTAAACACGAGCGTTTAGTGACGACATTGGTCTAGAGCGCTGGATAATGTCGACATAGAATTCTACAGGTAGGACTGCCTGAATAGGTGCAGTGAACCTTCTAATCCTCTCAAGCGCGTGATTCTTTTACTTGGAACACCCGTAAATCGGTGGGGCGTTCACATATTTTTAACTGGGCGCTATTTCAAACAATTAGGAAGTTCGCACTTGGTTGTTTCACGCACTTTCCCGTTCCGGTTCTCTATTATAAAAATAGAAAATGTGCTCAAACGTTTAAACTTCTTTCACCTGTTATGTTCAAAATACATCAGACTTTGTTTTTAATGTGTTGCTTGAGTACCTCACTAATTCGAGCAAACGCGGTGCAAATAAAAAGAAAATGACCAGAACGCTTTGCAGGGTCCCTTTAAGGTAGGCAGTAAAAGTATTAATTAGTATTTTGAGGAGTTGTACACGCTCACCAATCAACTCCCTGCCGTGTAAATAATGTATACCCAATTGAGCCCTGACCTTTTCGTTACCATGTAGTCGCATAACACTATGTAGTTACATTATATATATATATATATATATGTATATATATATATATATATATATATATATATATATATATATATATATATATATATATATATATATATATATATATATATATATATATATATATATTTATATATATATATATATATATTTATATTTATATATATATATATAGTTACATTACACTATATTGTTCAATTATGTACATAACATTGTTGCAATACACTATGCACAGCGCAGGTTCGTCTGCTCCTTTTTCAGGGGTTGTGTTGACGTCAGTAAAGGCGCAGAGCTCTGATTGGCTCTGATCGTAGGATAGTAGGTAGACCTCAGAGCAAGCTGCCTTGAGGTCTACCCACTATCCTTCATCCAAAGCTAATCAGAGCTCTAAGCCTTTACTGACGCCACCGCAACCCCTGCAAAAGGAGCAAACGAACTTGCGATGCGCATATAGTTATATTGCATTATAGTTACATTACTATACAGTTACATTTTTATACAGCTTAAGAGAGGCGAGGCCTGGTGAGTATCTGCTCTGAGTGACAAGTCAGTGACTAGTGAGCAGCACGAAAGCATTCTGGACTCACCTCACGAGGATGTTTATCCGTAAAAGGACAACGTAACGTTGCTTTCCAAAGTGCTAAATGACCATGGGTATACATCAGATATTGTTGCAGTCTCGGTCATCTTTATAGCAACTGTGATCATATTCTTCTCCTGCTATCCAAACTTTGGAGTAACTTAGTTTTTTTTATCCGGCTGCTTTATAGACATTCGTAACCTGTACAGTAATATAGGTTTTCTGATAATCTAGTTGCTACTACGCTGTCCTACGAAGGTACAGGTCGTTCTTTTTATTTTACGAGATCTTAAGAATACAAACTTGTCAGAAAGCTTATAGCGCTTTGTCTGAATACTGAAGACGCTATAACGAAGGAATTAACTAGTCCCTACCTATTTCTATTGTATTTACAGACTGGAGAATGTGTGTGAACATTTTTTTGCATATACATATATATATATATATATATATCATTTTTTGGGTATGTGTGACGCCATTTGTTTTAGATTTTGAGAAAGCGACAGTCGAGCTAATACATGGTGTGTCACCTCCTAATCTGCATAAAGTAAGGGGAAGGCACGGTAACACCTGAGAGGCTATGAAATACGAAATTTTATCAACTTTCCAGGCTTTACACTGTACGTCGCCGCGTCAACGAATTTCGATTTACGAGTTCACTATAAATGAATAGGGAAAAAAAAGCTTTTGCCACATTTGAAAAAGTGTCTGGGTGTGAACACCTGACAGCGCTTCCCAGTTCTTATTAAAAACTTGTCACCGGAGGCTTAATAAACGCAGGGCTTGGCTCAGTCCCGCCCTTCTCTTATCACTCATCAGCCAATGAAATTGCGGTATTATCCGATAAGAATTTTCAAGAACCAATCACGAAGCAAGAAGCGCGAACACGATAAGCCTTTCTAAAGCTGTCGATGACTCCAGCCAGGCTGCATATGTTATCATCTTAAACGTTTCCCAATGCAGGCTCCGATGATGTAAGACTGTTTTTCTTTACTCTGAACCTGCAGCTACACCTGGTCTGACGATGAAGACACACCCACTGCACCGCCAAGCGTCCATGGAAGACTGTGGTTCAGCTTGACCTACAGGAGCGATGACCAAGAACTGGACGTCAACGTCATCAAGGCCAAGTACCTTCCAGGTAATGTCATTGAAAAAAAAAAAAGTTTTCTTCGAGTTCCTGAAAGTGTGTTTATATGCTTTGCACCTGCTTGGACACGTACGGTGTACGAACTAGGAACATGTAAGTGCTGGCGAATAGTTTTGACACATACAGACGTGTTTTGGCCGAAGGCTTTCAGAAATCCCTAAAAAATAGGGTGGTTGAGAAAACAAATAATTATTTGTTTCCTCAACCACCCTATTTTTGGGGATTTTAGGAATTCCCAGAAAGAGGTTAACCTTTTCCCGGGAACAAAGTACCAGCCAGACGGACGCCGAGTATTGCAAAATCACATTAATGAGCCAAATAGTTAACTAACATTTCCTAATTACCTTTTTGATTGGTGAAAAATAGACATGAAGTTCGAACGAGAAATTTGCTTAGCATCTTTGAAATCCAATACATCACCTCTTTTTTCAAAATACTGGGAGTTCCCGAGAAACGACAACCGTTTTTTTTTTTTTTTTCGGCTCGGATAAATAGACTAAGCATCAGAGAAACCTCAAAACTTCGTGAGAATGTAACGCCGGCGGTTGGGATAGAACGCGAAGGTTTTAGAACATGACGTCACTTGGATCAAAAGATAATTGAGAAGAACGAAATTTTTTTTCTCTCTTTAGAAATACTGGGAGTTCCCGAGAAACGAGAACCGTGTTTTTCGGCGCGGATAAATAAATTATGCATCAGAGAAAACTCAAACTTCGTGAGAATGTAACGCTAGCGGTTGGGATCGAACGTGAAAGTTTGAGAACATGACGTCACTTGGATCAAAAAATAATTGAAAAGAACGACATTTTTTCTTTGAGCCGACGTTCAGCTAAGCTTAATATCTTCAAAACAAGAAATGACACCGTGGCGTCTGTAGTATTTATTTCAGTGAAGAAACCTTGTCAGCAAGAAAGAAAACAATACCTTCTTTCTTGCTGAGAATTTTTTTTCCCTTGAAATAGGGCTACATGCTCCCGCAGTGCCATTTTAGGCTTAGGAGGACGTCGGCCCATAAAAAGGTTTCCTTTTTCTCAATTATCTTTTGATCATGGCAACGTTATGTTCTCAGTCGTTTGAAGTCTATCCCAACCGCCAGCGTCACATTCTCACGGAGTTTGAGCTTAGAGCGATGCATAGTTTATTTACCCGGGCCGAAAAACACAATTCTCGTTTCTCGGAAACTCCATGTACATAATTGCGAAAGCAAACCTTTACGGCATAAAACCACTCAATTGGACTCTTTTCTAGCTTTCGGTTTCGTCTCGGAGCATGTCTTTGCGACCGCGATCCTGCTCCTCGGCGATGGAGGCGCGAAGCCACCGTCCCGCCCCCCTTGTACAAGGGTGGGTAGGGAAGGTAGTATGGCGCACGTGTGTTGCGCGACTCGGCCACTGGGGAGCAGGACCGAAAGCGCAAAAATGCGCAACAATAATTTAAAAAAAAATAGAAACGCGTTCAAATTGTGCGATTTTATGTCGTAAAACGCTGATTCTGCCGCGTGTACTTCTAAAAAAGAGTTTGTTTATTCGTTCTCAATGTTGCTTAGCAAGTTTCTTGTTCGAATCATGTGTTTAGTTTTCAATAACTAAAGAGTTAATTAGTAAATTTTAGTTAACTATTTAGCTCACTGGTGTGATATTTTAATACTCGACGTCCGCCGTGGCTGGCACATTGTTCCCGGAAAGTGCTACATTGTTCCTGGAAAATGCGAACATCAGAAAACCTTTGATGGTCCATCAAGCTGATGGTCTGAGGATTTGATCGCCTGATGGTTTAATGATTTGATGGCGTGGTGGTCTCATGGTCCGTCGTATTTTGGGACATCTGACAGCCTAATCATTTGATGGCTTGTTGGCCTAATTGTTTGTATACATTTCTAATCACATATACGTACCAATAGAAGACAGAGATTGCATTACATACAAATATGAATTTTATTTCGTGCCCATTATTGAGTCAAAGAGGAACATTCGAATCATCATGATAGGTTCTTAAGTCCCCATGAAAACCTGAAAGCAAAAATTGTATTTCCGTTATGGCATGTCAATATTTATATTTAGAAATTATTGAATGTTGAATCATTAAACTACAAAAAGAAAACAGATGAAAAAATGTGCTTAAAGGGGTACTCCGGCGATTTTCTCAGTTACCCAATTTTCGGAATCACCGGCCTTTACCCTTTCCGGCATGCTATTAAGTATCGCGAAATTCAGAATAGTTATTGTGAAATTGACAAGTGAAAATGATGCCAAAATCAACATTAGAATATACCCGCGCTTTTCATAGCCGTGACGTCAGAGGAAGGCAAGCTTGCAGTCCAAGCGGACATTCTAAAAATGGTCTATTCCGAGCATTTGTTTCGTGCTGCTGCGCGGGTGCTGAAGCGAGCTTCCAAAGTATTCATTTGAAACCACAAAACTGCTTGTAATCAGTAGGGAACAAAATCCACAGCCCAAAGAGTGAACCCCCGCCTTCCGCTAACGTCACTTTTTCATTTTACTTCGATAAACACGGTCAGTATCAAAATAGTAAATGCAGTAATTTTGCGATAAAACATTATTTTTGAACCAATATTTATGGTGCTTTTTTAGGAGTGTTTGTTGGTGTGTTTGACACATTTTCGGACAAATCGGGGACTATGAAGAAAACGCCAGAGTAACCCTTTATTCCACCGACTACTTTCGAGACTAAGGTGCAACTTGAGCGGTTTCTATTGCGTTGTCCCTATCGCTAACCGCGTTCGCGGCTTTGTAAACATTTATTTTTTCTTCTCGTACGTAATGCCACGCGCCTCTCCGAGCAAGCGCGTCCGTGGCCGAACGGTTATCGTGCTTGGCTCTCACGCAATGGGCCGAGGTTAAATTTTTGGTAGCGGAAGTACATTTTTGTTATTTCGGTAAATGTCGCGTTCTGGAAAATTCTAGAGCCTTGTTGCTTGTTCGAGGTCCAAATGTTCTACGTGCTGAACCTTCTACGCCGCTTGCTCTAGAAGCCCACACGTGGCAAGCCAGAGTCAGTCTTTCGCCTCCGCTCGGTCCTGCCGCTACACCGCCATCGACGGCTCTTATTCCCGCTCACTCTTACTTCATATGGGAACAAGTTCTCCCCGTTAAACGTTGTTTTATTCAGTGATTCTCCGCCTCATCGATCCTCATTTGTGACAATGTGCAGTTCCCTTTACCAGTAAAGGAATTTCCTTTCAAGCAAAATGCGTTTTTCGGCATATTCGTTTCTTCTTGGATCGTAAACATGATCTACTTGACATAAAAAAGTGGATCAACAAATTGTTTCACCAACGAACTAGAACACCGTTTAAAACAAAACTATGCTTGAGAAAACATACCAGGGTCAGTGTCTTCCTGACCTTTCAAGTGTCCCTGGACAAATGTTGATGCGGATTATGACGAACTGACAAATCCGTTATCGAGTCAGGCCACTGTGAGCGTTCTACGTCTGATGTAATTCACGGATGCGTGACGATGGGTGGATGAATGGCTAGATGGATGCGGCTGAACCTTTTGAATCGGGCGACGACGTGAAATGCTTTGCGCCCCCTCTCGTCCACTGGTGGAACCCGAAGATTGTCAGTTTCTTTCCACCACGGAAGGAGGTCATGAGAAGCATCATCAGTCTTTTTGACGTTCTGATGGTCTATATAGACATCCTCATGGTCTCATCCGAGCAACATTAAAACATTTCGGTGGTCTGTCAGCAACCACCAGAAACGTTTTGGCGCTCTGTAAGCTACCAACATAAGCCTTTCATGGTTCGTCAGTCATCATCAGAAAATGCCTGATGGTTCATCAGACACGTGAAGCAAGCCTGTCAAACCCACTGATGGGCAATCAAGGTTTCTTGGGCCATCAAGAAGGTCTGTTAGGCCGTCAAGAAGGTATGTTGGGCAATCAAAAAAAGGTCTGATGGGCCATCAAAAATGTTTAATGAATCATTTAAAATTTATGATGATCTCTTCAATCGAAAATTTCCTAAAAAGAAGATAATTTAGTGTTAATGGTAAAAAAAAAAAAAAAAAACGAAGGACGAGAAGATAAAGAACACACACTGAACAGGTTTGACACGTGTCGGGGGCGGATGTCTTGATGTATTTTATGATTCGCGTTTCACGTCGATTTGTGTTTCTTTTAAATAAATAAGTTGAGATTCAGCGCTTCGTGTGTGCACATCAACTTCTCGTCCTCGTTTTATACCGCTGTTTTTTCTGACTGGTAACACGTACAACCAACTTGTCCAACTTTCCACAGTACTGATTTAGTAGTTTTCGATGATGCTTAGCATGTTTCTTATTAGAATCATATGTTTATTTTCACTATTTAAAAACTTAAATAGTAAATTTTAGGTAATTATCTAGCTAATTAGTGTGCTTTTGCAAACCTTTGACATCCGCCGTGGCTGCTACCAGGAAAGTTTTTTTTTTTTCTCAACTACTTTATTTTTAGGGATTTTTGAAAGCCTTTGCTGAAACATTAGGACCGGCTTGCTAGAACAGCGTCTCAGCTGAGACTGGGTGAAAGAAAGCATTGCAAATGCTGAGGCGCGCGCGAGTGTCATGAGACGCAGCTTGAGTCCCTAAAAGCTCGTGCGTTGGCTTTGGTTGTGCTTTCTTTCACCCAGTCTCAGCTTCGACGCGACGCCGTTTCTAGCAAGCTGGCCCTGGTACACGTGCCCTGATATAGCCCTTGACATTTGTGCGTGTGCGTGGCCACACTGCACGTTTCTTAGGAACTTAATGTTTCTCTCTCTCGTTTTGCCTACATCCAGGAAGAGGGCTGAACAACGCTCCCCGAGACCCGTTTGTTCGAGTCTACCTCCTCCCAGATGATGACACCTTCCGGCAGACCGAAGTGAAACGGCGCACGCTATCACCCAAGTTCGAGGAAACCGTTACATTTAAGGTATACCTATGCATCCTCCATAGCATGACACCTCGCGTTGGCGCTTTCATATCTTTGTAGGCACTTTTGCAGGCCAAAAGACACAGATTCTACGGCAGAACTAAATTCTTTTCTAGGAAAATACATCCCACTTCGCGAAAATCCAATTGGATTGTCGGGGACAGGCTGTGCGTAGTTGGAACGGTTGGATGCGACTGTGCCGCTGTCTCGGGTTGTCATCCTTCGAATTGGGAAGGGTGGCTGCCGCCATCTATCGTCGTGGGTAACTCGAACGATAGTCGGGACAGCCGTCCCTGCTGTCTGGGCGATTCTGGCGGCGGCGCCGGCGCCGCGCGACTGCACGAAAGCGTGAACAGCACCATGCATTCTCTCGGGCGTATAGGTGCCCATGCACACCGAATTAGGGGATGACTTGACGCTGTAGACGCGCTGTCTAATTCAAATGAACGGAACAGAATGTATTCTTCCGTGTAAAGTATTTGACAAAACTGAAACTCTCTCCCAATTTTTTCTACGTTTGTAAACTAGAGGCACAAGAATCCCATTGCACCCGATTTGAGGAACTATGCTTTTCCCTCGCGTAAACCGTGCATCTGTTAATGGCGAATGGAGAATGACACGGGCAACATAAGAGCCAATTATGGCGTCTACCGAAAGAAACGAGCGAATAATAAGATAGCTATAATATGTGTGCGCAAAATAATAAACTGCACTAATTCTGAGCCTGTAAACGTCATGCTCAGGTAACCGTGCTCAACTTTTGGTTTATACGTTTCATGTTCTCACCAATTCGCTCTTTCCGTAAACAGCCGTGATGCGATCCCCTTTCTTTGGTGGAAAAGTGCACGCAGCGTCGTTCTACATAAACAGGAGTGGGCTATGTACAGCTTTCCAGCGCCTATCGCCCAAACGAAAAATACTGAATCACCGTGCTGTGGACGCCCGCGTGGCGTCTGGTGGCCTGCAGAAGAGAGCTATATGGCGTATGGTCAGAACGCGTTCGACAACCCGCTAGACAAAGATGGCACGAATAGGCTATACAATATATTAAAGATATTCTCACTGAGCGTAATATTTAACCCATGTTAATGGGGACCCGAGGGAGACGTCCTATTAAACATGAAGTCTGGCAGGCGGCAGTTAGCGCTGCCGTGTCCGGAAGCAATGCGTGCGGGTGTAGCCTCGTATGTACGGTACGGGCACACCGGAACTGCGGAATGAAAATTGACACTTCTCAATCTGGAGCCAGGGGCATCGGTTTTCGGGTGTCCAGCGAGGACATACCCCATCGACCGAACAGCCAGAGTGTAAACGACCCAACTCTTGGCCCAACCTGCACACCTTCCAGACCATACTCTTTTTCACATAAAGTTGGACCGCAGTTAAAAGCTACTCTCCGATGGAGCCAGTCACGCAGCGCCAAAAGTGTATCGTCATGGCGTCCGTCGCGTTTGTGCGTTTGCTATGCGTAGGTCAAGTTTGTCTGCTTCTTGCGCGGGGTTTGCACGGACGTCAGAAGGCCGAGCTCTGATTGGGTAGATTTCAATAGTGGGTAGATTTCAATGCTTGCTGCCTTGAGGCCTACCCACTATCCTTCCGATTGGAGCCAATCAGAGCTCGGCCTTCTGACGCCAACTCAAACAACTGCTCAAGAAGCAGACGAACTGGCGCTCCGCATAGAACCGTCTAACCAACCTATCACGCAAAGTGAGTGCGGCGTGATTCTGCGATATATTTTCTCCGCTTGATCGGTTTCGCCGGTGGTGGCGAAAACCTAAAGACGACGAGCGTCGTGACGCTGCACTTTTCGCGCCGCCTGATTGGCTTCATCGAAGCGTAGCGTTGGCCGCAGTCTGAAATCATTATAACAAAAGTAATAATAATCTTAATTTTTTTTTATAATAAAAGATTAAGATCTGAAATCTTAGTCTGAAACAGTTACGGAGTACAACGATCTCCGCCCGGTGCTCGAAGGAGAGCCACTTGCGCGGGAACGCGGGATGCGATCTTGCAGACGTCATATTGCTTGCGATCTCGCAGACGTCATATTGCTTGCGATCTCGCAGACGGCATATTGCTTGCGATCTCGTAGATGTCATATTGCTTGCGATCTCGCAGACGTCATATTGCTTGCGATCTCGCAGACGGCATATTGCTTGCGATCTCGTAGATGTCATATTGCTTGCGATCTCGCAGACGTCATATTGCTTGCGATCTCGCAGACGGCATATTGCTTGCGATCTCGTAGATGTCATATTGCTTGCGATCTTGCAGACGTCATATTGCTTGCGATCTCGCAGACGTCATATTGCTTGTGATCTCGCAGACGTCATATTGCTTGTGATCTCGCAGACGGCATATTGCTTGCGATCTCGCAGACGTCATATTGCTTGTGATCTCGCAGACGTCATATTGCTTGCGATCTCGCAGACGTCATATTGCTTGCGATCTTGCAGACGTCATATTGCTTGCGATCTCGCAGACGGCATATAGCTTGCGATCTCGCAGACGTCATATTGCTTGCGATCTCACAGACGTCATATTGCTTGTGATCTCGCAGACGGCATATTGCTTGCGATCTCGTAGATGTCATATTGCTTGCGATCTCGTCGATGTCATATTGCTTGCGATCTCGCAGACGTCATATTGCTTGTGATCTCGCAGACGTCATATTGCTTGTGATCTTGCAGACGGCATATTGCTTGCGATCTCGCAGACGTCATATTGCTTGTGATCTCGCAGACGTCATATTGCTTGTGATCTCGCAGACGTCATATTGCTTGCGATCTCGCAGACGTCATATTGCTTGCGATCTCGCAGACGGCATATTGCTTGCGATCTCGCAGACGTCATATTGCTTGCGATCTCGCAGACGTCATATTGCTTGTGATCTCGCAGACGTCATATTGCTTGCGATCTTGCAGACGTCATATTGCTTGCGATCTCGCAGACGTCATATTGCTTGTGATCTCGGAGACGGCATATTGCTTGCGATCTCGTAGATGTCATATTGCTTGCGATCTTGCAGACGTCATATTGCTTGCGATCTCGCAGACGTCATATTGCTTGCGATCTCGCAGACGGCATATTGCTTGCGATCTCGTAGATGTCATATTGCTTGCGATCTCGCAGACGTCATATTGCTTGCGATCTCGCAGACGGCATATTGCTTGCGATCTCGTAGATGTCATATTGCTTGCGATCTCGCAGACGTCATATTGCTTGCGATCTCGCAGACGTCATATTGCTTGCGATCTCGCAGACGGCATATTGCTTGCGATCTCGTAGATGTCATATTGCTTGCGATCTCGCAGACGTCATATTGCTTGCGATCTCGCAGACGGCATATTGCTTGCGATCTCGTAGATGTCATATTGCTTGCGATCTTGCAGACGTCATATTGCTTGCGATCTCGCAGACGTCATATTGCTTGCGATCTCGCAGACGGCATATTGCTTGCGATCTCGTAGATGTCATATTGCTTGCGATCTCGCAGACGTCATATTGCTTGCGATCTCGCAGACGTCATATTGCTTGCGATCTCGCAGACGGCATATTGCTTGCGATCTCGTAGATGTCATATTGCTTGCGATCTCGCAGACGTCATATTGCTTGCGATCTCGCAGACGGCATATTGCTTGCGATCTCGTAGATGTCATATTGCTTGCGATCTTGCAGACGTCATATTGCTTGCGATCTCGCAGACGTCATATTGCTTGCGATCTCGCAGACGTCATATTGCTTGCGATCTCGTAGATGTCATATTGCTTGCGATCTCGCAGACGTCATATTGCTTGCGATCTCGCAGACGGCATATTGCTTGCGATCTCGTAGATGTCATATTGCTTGCGATCTCGCAGACGTCATATTGCTTGCGATCTCGCAGACGTCATATTGCTTGCGATCTCGCAGACGGCATATTGCTTGCGATCTCGTAGACGTCATATTGCTTGCGATCTCGCAGACGTCATATTGCTTGCGATCTCGCAGACGGCATATTGCTTGCGATCTCGTAGATGTCATATTGCTTGCGATCTTGCAGACGTCATATTGCTTGCGATCTCGCAGACGTCATATTGCTTGCGATCTCGCAGACGGCATATTGCTTGCGATCTCGTAGATGTCATATTGCTTGCGATCTCGCAGACGTCATATTACTTGCGATCTCGCAGACGGCATATTGCTTGCGATCTCGTAGATGTCATATTGCTTGCGATCTCGCAGACGTCATATTGCTTGCGATCTCGCAGACGTCATATTGCTTGCGATCTCGCAGACGGCATATTGCTTGCGATCTCGTAGACGTCATATTGCTTGCGATCTCGCAGACGTCATATTGCTTGTGATCTCGCAGACGGCATATGCGGAGGGCAAGTTCGTCTGCTTCTCGCGCAGGGGGTAGCGGTGACGTCAGAACGCCGAGCCCTGATTGGCTGATCGCGCCCCCCTATCTGAGCGTCGTCTGCTCCTTTGCAACGTCGTCTGCTCGCTACGTCGTCTGCGTCTGTCTTACCTTTCCTGCGACTTTCGGAAGTGCAGAGGCCAGATTCACGAAACGATCTTACGCCAAAAATGTGCGTAAGACAAAACTTAAGAACAAATTCGTACTCACGGAACGAAATTTTCGTAAGTTTTGCGCAGGTTAAGACGAAATTCTGCGACAGCTCCGAAGCTGTCTTACGCACTTCTTACGATCAAATCAGCATCGCCGACAGCGTCGCGGTCGCGACGACCCACGGACGTTTATTGTTTTACGTGCGCTTCTGACGCGTCCCGACTTCAAGCAGCAAGAAAAAAGTAAAAAATACTTGAAACAGACCACGACGAACAAGAACGCTGGATCCACAAACACCCGGGAAAAGCTCCCACGGCCAAGATCCCACCGAACGCGACCAAACGAGCTGGGCAGTTAGGCCTAGCAGGCACTCCGCGACTCGGCGACCGTCTGCCCACGACCGGCTGGCGTGCTGAGGGAAATATGCCCGCGCGACCCTTGTGAA